CCATGATTTGTTAAACGGTTAACTTCATTATTCATATATAGGATATTAACATGATTTGCTTAATCCAATTACTCTGTTGAAGAGTTTAGGTTGTCAAAGAGAGAGATAGCGCGTTGCAAGTAGTTCGTGTAACGAATAAGAAGTTTTTTCGTTGTTAATTAATTAAAGAGCATAAGTTTGCTTGGTTATGAATTTCATTTGAGAAAAAAGGTACACACTTAACCGTTTACTAAGAGATCGAAATCAAAAAGACAGAATTCTTTAGTCACTGTTCAAGAATGTGTTCACGGGATTAATAATCAGACATCATGAAATCCATTATTATTGGATCGGAGCTTGCATTGATTCCAAAATTGTCTTCGTGCATGTCGCCAAGTTCTGTATCCAAAGGATGTGCTTATCATCCATCGCAATCCCTCAAGAAACCAACACTCTGCCCCCCCACAAACCGAACTAACCGTTTCTTGAGAGATTGCAATGATAAAGATAGAATTTATCATAGCATAAATGAGTAAGCTGTGCATATATATTGATATAAGTATAAGGATTTGAGATATACGGAAGAGCAAGATATCATAACTCTAAGAGTACATTAACATAAAATAACATAACCAATAAGCTTGAAACTATAATACTTTAGGAGTTGAGGTACTGTACTGTTAGCTATCACAACTATCTTCGAGTTTTGCTCAGATTTATATGAACTGTAGCGTACAAATGTTAGAACCTCTAGGTTTTTTTTAAAGCAAAAAAAGGAAGTGATAATGTGCTAGTTCATACGTGTTAACGACTATATTTGCTTGGAAAGCTATCCGAATAGAACGACAGATGCGAACGATGGCAGGTAAATCTCATTTCGTTGATGCTTTGAAAATGTTGATGCTTATCATAGTTCGGCAAAGAAAAGTTTCAGGTGAACATTGAACGCGGTATTCTAACCTGGTACCATTTTTGTGATAAAAATAAATAACAAATATCGTTCCATTCGGATAGTAGAGACATATGAAACTTTAATGGAACGATATGTTACTCACAACACTTCAAATTGCCTATATATGTCATTAAATTAGAAAAAATTGTCCCTCTACCGTTCCGCATTTTCAGGACTTTCCCTCATGATAAACTTGTTTTGTGATGGATTCTGATCTGAGAAGAAAGGTACTTCATGAACGTTTCATTCGGAATACTCAACCATGAGACACAGCTAATTATTAATACAAAAAAAGGAACTGAATGCTGGTATGTAGTCATTGGACTTGTGAATATATTTCTCAACCAGTCAAATTTGTTGATTGTGTTCAAAGTGTCTTTGAATCAAACTAACTGTTCTAGTGAAAAATTGAAAGCTTACTGCCTGATCTACTTTTTTCCTTGTTTCTGCTCTTAACGAGATTTTCAAAAAATTTTCCATTTTTTTCTTGCTTGTCGTCTTCCATTCCTTCATGTTAAGAGACTTTGTTTGTGGAATTATTGCAAATGTCCATATAAGAATAAAACAGGCTACATGCTTGAAAGGAACTTAAGTTATTCAGAAGTTCATTCACTACCTTCTATTCCACGCTTTTATTTGGCTCTTTCTACAAATGCCGAGCTAGCTATCATTGTAGTATGGTCGAAGAATGATGGGAGGATACCCAGGAATGATGGGCATGTACCCTGGAATGATGGGCATGTACGGCAAATAAGTAGATTAAGCTCACAAATGGCCCGTTCGATCTCCTTATTATATAAATAGAAGTATTATGAATAAAAAAAAGAAATGAATGTTTGTATTCTGACATCGTATTTAGCATATTTAATGGAAGCTCCATTTGAATTTCATATTTTGTCTTTGAGATATCTGGAGAGAAAGAGAGAGAGAGCTGTTTTCCATGTTTGCAACAGATAATTTGTGGTCAGCAAGTTCCTACTGAAACTACAATGAAATCTATGAAATTCCATGATTTGTTAAACGGTTAACTTCATTATTCATATATAGGATATTAACATGATTTG